TGCTTTTGGGGGCACAGGGTGATTCCAGCCTCTTCCTCTTGTGTCTTCCAGGTCCTTTGCAGCCCTGGAACAGCGAGTCCAGCATAGGCAGTAAGCAGCTGGAGTCCAAGCAGGACACCGATGGCTCCAGCACCCCGCAGCACAACGGGGGAGTGAGGCTGCACGACTTTGTTTCAAAGACGGTGGGTCTGCAGGCAGGAGGAGATGAAAAACATCTCCTTGCATGTTGGAATGTGTGTGATAAGAGGCTGCCAGCTGTGTCAAGGGAGTTATGCTGAATATTGGAAAAAAGTTCTCCTGGAGTGGGGGTTGTGCACTGAACAGGCTCCCCTGGGAATGGGCATGGCTCCATGGCTGCCAGAGCTCCAGGAGAGTTTGGACAATGCTCCCAGGGATGCACAGGGAGGGATTGTTGGGGTGTCTGTGCAGGGCCAGGATCAGGATCTGATGATCCCTGTGGCTCTCTTCTGATTCAGGCTATTCCATGATTCTGTGATTGCTCTCAGGTCCGTATGACCTGTACCAGTTACCTGCATGGATCAAAGAACTGTTACCCAGTTTAATTCCTGCTGACTTACTACACTGCACTAATCTCTCCCGTCTGTGTGCTCTGCATCACCAGGTTATCAAGCCAGAATCGTGTGTCCCGTGTGGAAAGAGAGTGAAGTTTGGGAAGATCTCCCTGAAGTGCAGAGACTGCCGGGTGGTGGCTCACCCCGAGTGCCGGGAGCGCTGCCCCCTGCCCTGCATCCCCACGCTGACGGGCACCCCGGTGCGCATCGGGGAGGTGGGTCAGTGCCCGGGCCGGGGGCTGCCCACAGAGGGGCCACCCTGCCTCGGGACCTGCTCAGCTCCAAGGCTGCCTTCCCCAGCAGAGCTCCTGTTGCTCAGAGCTGCATAATGACATGCAAACGAGCTCGCTAATGCATCGCTGCACAAGCAGGGAGGGGGTGTAGGGGTGCGATGGTAGGAGGGCGTTGAGTGGGGAAGGTGGCAGCTCTGGGCAGGCGATGCAGCGTTGTGCTGATGGATGTGATGTTTCTTCATCAGTCCTGAGAAGAGCAACAATTCTTGTTTTCCGACCATAGATCTTGCTGTGAATTCCTGAGAGAGTATTTTCCATGTCTTGATGACTGAATCCATCTTTTTTTTTTTTACTTTCCTTTCTGCCTTTTAGGGCACCTTGATGGATTTTGTCCCTTCTACTCCTCCAATGATCCCTTCCATCATCGTGCACTGTGTTAATGAGATTGAGCAACGAGGGCTGCATGAGGTAAGAAGAAAATGAGGTGTGAAACAGTGCCAATGAAATGGGTTGTGGTGTTAGGGAAGCAAATTGTTAACCCAAATATCCCTTATTTATGGTGTGCATTGTGCTGCTTAGTGGGTGACTCAGGTGTGGGGATGGAAGAAAACCAGTTGACCTCCTCTGAGCCAAGCTTTGTGCTAACAGACAGGCATTTACCGCATCTCTGGCTGTGACAAGACTGTGAGGGAACTGAAGGAGAAGTTTCTCAGGGCAAAGAACATTCCTTTGCTCAGTAAGGTGGATGATATCCACGCCATCTGCGGCCTCCTCAAGGACTTCCTGCGCAGCCTGAAAGAGCCCCTGCTCACTTTCCGGTTAAACAAGACTTTCATGGAAGCTGCAGGTGAGGAATTGCTGCGTGACATCTCCAGATCTTTCCTGAGGCTCAGTGGTTGTGGTTTTGCTGTCAAGTGAACCAGCAGCCCCTGGTGCTCTGTGGAGCCCTTGTGCCTGAGTTCTAGTTGGGCAGGATATGAGATTATCAGCACAGCTTGAGAAGTTTCTGGCTTCTTTGTTTCTCAGGGTAGCGTGAGGGGAATATTGCAGCTTCTGGCAGCACTTTCTAAGGTCTAAATGTTATTTTTTTCTGCTAGAAATCCCGGATGAGGATAACAGCATCGCTGCTATGTACCAAGCAGTCGGAGAACTTCCTCAGGCCAACAGGGACACCTTGGCTTTCCTCATGGTCCACCTGCAGAGGTACATTCTGATGGACAGGGGGGTTGGAACCAGGTGATCTCGAAGGTTCCTCCCAACCCAAAGCATTCTGTGATTTGGAAGGGGAAGGTTACCCCACTGGTGCTTTTTCTGATTGGGTCTGATTACTGCTTGTGAGCATGAAGTCTTCATTCTGGAACAAACCTGCTCACTCAGGGGCCAAGTGTGTGTGGGGCAGGGGATTTGTATCACAAGTGAAGGGGGTAAGCTACATTCTTTCCATGTTTCTTTTAATGCAGGGTGGCTCAGAGCCCAGACACTAAAATGGACATCTCCAATTTGGCCAAAGTCTTTGGCCCCACAATAGTCGCCCATGCGGTACCAGATCCTGACCCCGTGACCCTCCTGCAAGACACGAAGCGTCAGCCCAAGGTAGGACAAACTTGGTGATTGTCTCTCTTCCGACCCAAACCATTCCTTGATTCTGTGGTCAGTGACTCACAGGTGTCCTGTAGGTGGTGGAGCGACTCCTGCTGCTGCCCATGGACTACTGGAGCCAGCTGATGATGGTGGAGCAGGAGAACATTGACCCAGCACACGTGATTGAGAACACCAATGCCTATTCCACTCCACGAACCCCTGAGGTTCAAGGTAATCCTGCCTTCTGCTCTGGTACTAAAAACAACAGCCCTCAATCCAAGCAGCCTGTGAAGCTCTCAGAGCCAGCCACTTCTCACTTCATGGAGGCAGAGGGAAAAGCAAAGTGTGCCAGGAAATGCCAGATTTGTCTAGTGCTTTTCACAGATGCCAGGGTATGCCTGATGTTCTCTGCAAGGCAGAGAAAACTTCAGCTGTCCCCACACTGTGCTGCTCTCTTTGGCAGTGAGCATCCTGGGACCTCTCACCACCCCAGAGCACCAGCTCTCCAAGACACCCTCATCCAGCTCCCTGTCCCAGAGGGTCCGCTCCACCTTCAGCAAGACCACCCCCAAGTAAGTGCCAAGTGCCAGTGGGTGCTGTCATGCCATGTTTGGGATGACTGCAGGTGATTTTGGGTGCTCTAGGAGAGCTGAGACATTTGGGGGCAGCCTGCACTTACTACTCGTGCACCCTCCCTTAATCTGTGCTGTGGGAGCAGCAGATTTGGGTTACAAACATCCTCACATGGTAGGGAGAGAAACATTGTTTGGGAGGTGGGTGAAATTTGGGTGAATGTTCCCTGGAGAAGTGTTGGACCTCTGTGTCCAGAATTCCAAATTGATATTCTTGTATTTCTCTTGAATTAGATTTGGGAGCAAAAGCAAGTCAACAACCCAGTTTGGACATCAGGGTAACTTCTTTGCCTCTCCTATGCTGAAGTGAAGACCTGGGAGTTGGTCTTGTCCTGGCATTTGCACACCAATGCTCACAAGTAGAAGAAATACTGGTTGTCTCCGTGGCCCCTGACAGCTTATACAAAATAATGTTTTGCCTTTTATCTTTCAGCTTAACTGAGACTTTTAATGGGATGTTATAGTGCAATTTATTTTTATTATCTAATGCTGTGCTGTATGTAGTATTGGTGAAGACAGTAACAAGCAGGATTTGTTCAGTGTTAATCATTAAAAAAACTAGAGAATTGGCATTTTCACTAACATCTGTTTTTCTCCCTGTGTGAAGTAGAGCATTCACAAAATGAGGGTCAGTTGGTTGGGGTTTTTAGGACTCTGTAGGATGTTCCTGGCACAGCAGTGTCTGAACTTGGTCAGAATCCAGGCTTTCCATCAGCACAGCGTGTCCCACCTGGCTGGTGGTGCAGCTGGAATCCTGAGGATGGCAGTGTTGGACTGGGCTGGTGGGCAAAAGCCTCTCTTCAACCAACTGCCCAAGGGACTGTGGCTCCTCCAAAGGAGCATTTCCTGGCACTGTGTTTGCAGGGGCTGAATTCTGTAGAGAAGGGTGGCAAAGCCAAAGGATTCCTGGGTAGCCCAGAGGAGTTAGTGCAGCTCATGCTGGTGAGGGGATTGGGGGTGGGATTCCTGCTTTCCCAGGTCAGGATCTGGGACCTTGCCCAGTGCTGTGTGAAGACACCTGTGCAACACACATGGGTTTATCAAGTGGCTGTTTTTATTGAGCTTTGGAAAACTGTCCTGACTGTGCAGTTAAGTAAATCCTGATGTTTTACACAGTTTTGTGTTCTCTGGCTCGTGGTTTTAACTTGTGCATTTTCACCAGGCCTCACTGGAGGCTCAGGGGCTGCTCTCAGCCCCAAGGACTGGTCCCAGCCAACTTTGCTGCTGGGAGCAGCATCCTGCCCTGGGCTGTGGCTCCTGGGTGCAGGGATCAATGAGGATGACAGGTTTGGTCCCCTCTGTGTGTTGGGAGGTGAAATAGCCATGGGTAGGTGTGCTGGCCTGGGATGTTTCCCTCTCCCCTTGATTGTGAGGTCTGGGGGGTGAAGTGTTTGCACAGTGGTGCTGACCCACTGCTGGGGCCCCCAAGCAAGGGGCTGTTTCTGGCCCTGGGTTCTCAGATACACCAGGTGTGCAGGAGAGGGGCACTAAGGTGTGTTCTCCTTACCCTGATTCTGGTTTTGGGCACTCTTGGTCCGTTCCTGGAGCATGTTCTCCCAGACTAGGTCCTTGCCTGTTCCTTACTGAGGGACATCTGCCCTGGTCCCTGTGGCACTGCTCTGTGGGGACAGCTAGGTTTGGGGACATCTGGGGAAGCCACCCCCACTTGGGTACTGCTGGGCACAAAGGTGACCCTGGCAGTGCTCGGGCACATCTCTGGGATGGGGAGTGCCCACCTGTGCCTGCAGGTAAGGGCACAAATTCCAAGGGGGATGGAGAGCAAGAACAGTGAGGACAGGGTGGATTCCATGCTCTGGATGCTTCAGGCTGCAAGAAGACACAAGCAAGGAGAAATCACGCAGAGAAATATTTATTAATCAAAGATTTTTAAAAAGTCTCAGTTTGGCTACAGAAACAGGGATGAAAATATCACTTCTGGTGGGAACCAGTACAAAAAAACTCCTGGTTTATGTCCAGGCAGGGGCAGGAATGTGTGTTCTGAGGATTAATGCAGACAAAATCACACCTGTGGGCTCCTTAATCAGGAGCATTTAATGCATTTGGACGGGTCAGTGACCATCTGTGTCCTGTACAGAAGGACTTCACCCTCATCATGGCTCCTCACTGATCTTGTGGAGGAATTCACCTCCTGCTTCTTTATAATGGTAGAATTCTTACAATTAATGAGCTGATTTCTCACATTGCCCTAATCAGCATTCAGTTCTGATCAATGGCAGCTCCAAGGGAGAGATGCAGGTCCACACCTGCAGAAGATTGTGCTCAGACCCTCTAAGACAAAATTTTCGCTCTTGTTTTCATTCCCTCTGGGAGCAGCAGCACGCAGCAGCGTGTGTAAGGTTTGGACACTTGGTTCCCCACGGGTGGGCCTGGATTTGACGTGAGGAGCTGACAGAGCCACCACGTCCACGTGAGGGATGGGCCTGCTGCGCAGAGCCAGACAGTCCTTTTGGCCTTCTAGCCTTGGCAAAAGTCATGCCAAATTCTCAGCGGGCTGGGGTGATCCTCATCATCTAAACCGAGCGCAGCAGGTTCCCTGGGCAGGTGCTTGTCGGCCTCTTGGAGGAAGAGGCGGATGTCGTTGGCAGCGTCAGCGTCACCGCTGCGCTGGTAGGTCTTGGCCATCCTCAACAGCCTGTGCCCACATTCCCTCCTCTGGTCTGTCTGCACAGGAATTTTGTAGCATTCCATGAACTTGGCTTTTGCCCCAGCCGTGCATTTCTCCCGGTAGAGGAAGAAATCTCCCCAGGAGAGATTCAGGGCTTGCTGACATCTGAGGCTCAGGGTGTTGATTTGCCTCTGCAGCTCCTCATAAATCTTTTCTTCCTGTGATGGCTTTTTTATACCGAGGAACTCTGCCAACTGCAGCTTGACAAGTGTAAGGTCAAGGTCAGGATGTTCCTGAACAATTTGCTGGAGTTCCTTGATGGCTTTACACCGTATCTTATCCTTTTCTTTCTGATTTGCTTCAACCCACTGTTGCTTGTAGCAGTTGGCCAAGGCCTGGTAGAGAAGGTGGTAACCTGGGTCCTGCTGCAGGGCTTGCTGGATGATCTCAGACGCTTTCTGTGTTGACAGTGGCAACCAGAACAAAACTGATAGTTTGAGGACCTCGGGGTCAGAGCTTTTCTCTGCACATTCTTTAACTAAGCCAGTTGCTTTTTCCCTATCACCTTGTTTAAGTAGCTTGGCCAAGTACATTTTGGCTCTGTAGTTTTCTGGCTGCTCGTCGACAATTCTTTCCAAGTGGATTTTGGCTTCTCTTTCAATATCAGGTTGCCAGGAGAAATTCCAGGAGGAATAAAGAGCCATTGCAAGCCCAGTACGGAAAGATTTGTTCTCTGGTTCAAGCATCAAGGCCATGTTGAAGCACTCTCTTGCCCGTTCCCCGTTTCGGGCTCTGATGGCCAGGAGGGACCAGCCTTTCTGGGCTTGGATGTGTGGGATCAGCCCCACATCCCAAGGAGTTGAGCAGAGCGGCTGAACTCGTTCCAGCCAGGTTTCAGCCTCCTGGTAGGAGCCCTGAAGGTAGTGGATCCAAGCATAATTCCCGTAGATGGTCAAAGAGCCAGCAGTAGATGTCCACAGATGCTTCTTGTCATTGTGTTCCTCAGCAGCTTTGAGGCTCTGCAGAGCTTCCTTGCTGTGGTTGTTCAGCTGGTGCAGGTAGGCCTGGAGCCCCAGGAGGGCCACCTGGTTCTGCTGGGCTGTGTGCTTGATCTCAACATCCAGTTTCTGCAGGAGATGCCAAAGACTGAAAGAGTCGACACCCAGGCTCCAGGTGAAGTGACACTGAAGGGCATCCAGCTTCTTCTTCAGCTGCTCCTTGCTACAAAGAGGAAGTGATGAGTTATTAAAGGGTGTGCCCACACACAGGGAGAAAAAAAGATGGGAAGCTGGAGGAGGAGACTCTCCAGTTGTTTAACACATCCATCCCTTGCACTCAGGCTACTAAAGAACCCTCAAGTCCTTGTTCCAGTCAGCCCATTTTCCAGGGAGCTCTGTGAGCCTTCCCATTAGAGAACAGCAATGGTGATTCCATTGTGTTCCAGTGCCTGGAGCCAGGGCTGCTCCCTCACCTAAGGCAAAGCCCTTGGATGGGCTGAGAAAAGGGAGAGTGGAGCAGCCTCACCCACGAGTAGAAAGACTGGTTTTTCTCGTTTCTCCTTCTGTGAGGAGGAAGCAGGGATTGTATCTTCAGCTGGAGGGTGAAGAAGTGGCTCAAAAAAGAGCCCAGCAAGGTAAGGAGAGTGTTAGACTGGAGTCTCTCTTCCATGAAGAAAGGCTGAGAGAGCTGAGCCTGTTCAGCTCAGAGAAGAGAAGGCTCGGCAGGATCTTAGAGCTGTAGAAATAGCTGAAGGCAAAGCAGTGCCAGGTTTTTTTAGTGATGCCCAGTGCCAGGGCAAAAAGAGCACAAACAAGCCCAGGAAGCTCCATCTGCACATCAGGAAAATTAAATGTGAGCAGAAGAGAGGCCTTGCACATTTTTCCTGGACAGGTTGTACAGTCTCCACCCTCAGAGAGACTCCAGAGGTGTCTGGATGCAGTCAGGGTTGGCCCTGCTTGAGCAGAGCCTTGGACAAGGTGACTTTCTGAGGCCCTTTCCAGCCTTAACCACAGCGAGGTGCTGAGCCAGGATGCTGAGCCTTGTCCCCCCACACCCTGTGGCTGTGGCAGCTGTGACAAGAAGGGATGCTGTGCACTCACCTCATTGTTCCTGCGGGCATCATGTCACTGCCGAGGGACGATGGCTTGGCTGCACCTCCTCCAGCCAGCAGCAGATCCTGGGCAGAACAGTCTGTAACCTGGAGACTGGGCTTTAAATAAGGAAGCTTTCTCCTGGGTGGAGTCAGATGAAACCACTTGCCGAGGATGAAACGAAACAGGAAGAGTTGAAACCAAAAATGAAAGTGTTCTCTTCCTAGCTGGAAGTTATCACCTTCCCTTGATAAAATGGAAGAGACAAGAGACAAGAAAGGGAGCTCTGTGGTCAGAGCAGCAGGATCTGCACTCCCCCCTGGAGACCTTCTCCCTGCTGAAAAGGACTTTGGTGTGCAGCTTTTAGGTGTAAGGTGATGGAGGATCCATCGGAAAGGAAGCACGGCATCACTTTGGCATCATCAGTGACGAGCCAAAGGCTCCGTGTGGCTCTGCAGGACTTTGTCCCCAGGGCTTGTCTGAATCTGCCCCGTCAGTTTTGCTGGAGTTTCTCATCTGCCTGTCACAGAAACGGCCCGGCAAAAAGGGGATGGCATTTGCACAGTTTGGTGTGGGGAAAATCCCAACTCCTTCCCTAAGGAGCAGGAAGTGCTGACAGAGCACAGGATGCTGAGCTGGAGATGGCCCCAGGACTATCACCAGCTCACCAGGAAGCCACTGCTAACCACTGAGGTTTTGGGAGGTGACAGAAACCAGTGAAGTGACAGAAAAAATACAGGTAAAATGCAGGACACGTGGTATGTCTGGGTGTAACGGGGGATTGCAGCCCTGGCAAGAAAGATTCCAGTGGAGAGAACAGCAGAAAAGACATTTTTAAAAGTAGCCTCAAGTAAACTCTAAACAGAGAAGGAAGAAACCACCAGCCTTAGAATCACATCCCTCCCAGCTAAGAAGAAAAAACCCATCACTATTTCCCCCTCAGGATGCTGATGAGTCACTGCAGCAGGAAAGGAAGGAGGAGAATTTACTGCTGGAGGAGCAGGGTAGATGCTTTTATCCCCTGTTTATTTTTTTCTATTGCTGACAACCTTTAATAGAAAATGAGTAATTTGGCTATTAGTGTTAGCACTGCTGGGTGAACAATGAGTGATTGCTGTAGCTTGATTAGGCAGAAGCATTAATT